AATTTAGAATAAAGGTGCGACTACTCGGAATGAAATGAGCAGCGGTTTACCTAAATTGATCTAGCCCCGCTCTAAGCAATACTAAAAGAGATGCTAACTGTTTCGGTGAATAACACCATCTGTGGTGTACTGAACATGGTTTGGTTCCGCGCTGCGCTTTGACATCTTAATGTCAGAGAGTCTGGAAATTATCATTGTCGCAATTGGGGAAAACGGCCTTGCTACACTGCATGATACATCGGCGACTGCATCCTGCATCCTGTCATTTGCTAGCCCCCCAGTGACAGAATGGTTTGCTGGGTGCTGTCGCCGTACGCGTTATTGAAGCAGAAATTTTGGTTGTGCACTAAATACATTTGAAATTAGGATGGCTGGTATGGTTGTTCCGATACGAGGTTTTCGTACCGAATTCGACGCTAAACTTGCTTCCATTCGTATCCCAGATTAATCAGAGCTCTAGGGCTTACTCCAGGTAGGACCATGCCCTATCCTCATTGGCGAAAACGCTACGGCCCTCACCTTGGGCAGGAACTCCCCCACTTGTCCTACATTATGGTCGACACCAAGGATAAAAGACTAGGAAATCTGCGGGGGAAACGATTTTCCTTTAATGGTGCAATCCGAACAGCAGAAGTACGAGTCCGGATACAAAGAGTGCTGGCAGCCAGGGAACAATCTGTAACCTGTTATTGCGTCCCATCAAACTCTCATTCATAAGCAAGTGGCATTTTGTATCGTCCACATGTCTGCCTTGGAAGTCAAGGACGACTATAACATTCAGGAAGCGTGGGAAAGGGCTTGTGGGGCATTTGCGCAGACGACCAAAGTCGACCTCACTACGTCTCCAAAATTCACCGTCGACGAGGTCCTCGACCAAATTCGGATAAAGCAAGATGAGGACGACGAGAAAAACACAAAATTCAAGACTGCCAAGAATATAATAAGCAAGACGCTGACATTGATCACGGTGCTTGGTGGTATAGCTGCCCAGGGTGCTAGCATGGTGAGTATACTCATGGGCGGAGAGGTCGGTACCCCTAACTGAAATCTATATTGTAGGTCTTCGCACCTACTAGCCTCTGCTTCAATGCAGTCTTATATTTAATTGCCACCGGAGCTAAATACAAGCGCATTTTCAGTATTCTAGCTGAGCTCTTCCGACGGATCTCCGATGTATTAGAGCGCTGCAGGATCTATATGCGTTTACCGGCAGACGCCGTTGACATTTCCCTCCGCAGAATTATTAACGAGGAATTGGTATATTTTGTTGATATTTGTACATTGTCTATCAAGGTGCTCAAGGGCAATAAGATTCTCACTGCCCTCAAAGCTTTTGCCTTTGATAGCAATGAAGGTATCAGCAGTCAATTAGACCGCCTGTCTTTGCTGGTTGAATGTGAATCTCAGATACAAGTAACTCTGGGATTCGAGTCACAGAAGACCAGCGAAATAGTCATCGTTAAAACACAAGATAAAACTCAGAAGGTCAATGCCTCAGTTGACAAGCTGCTTATCTTCAAGAAGAAGAGAGACGCAGATAATATAGCACAGCAAATCTTAAGCAACATTGATACAAGTCTTGGCACACCCAGCGAGACGTACAAGGCTATCCAGACAATTTACAAACGTCGCTTGAATAACCAAGTCTCAGGTAGTGGAGGATGGCTTCAACATGACCCTTTATTCACGGCATGGGCAGATGTCCGACGGTTGCGGTTTTCCATTTTGGGGGTCACAGGAGGTGAGGACTGTGGCAAGTCGTTCCTTTTTGCAGCTATCATCAAGCATTTGCAGGAACTGTACGCTGAGGCTACAAAGGACATGAACTGCACCTCCATTTGCTACTATATTTTCAATCAACAAAAAGTGAAAGACTCATCTCTAATCAAGGTCCTGGAAGTCCTGGCATGGCAAATTGCCAAAGCAGATGTGGTGTATCGCAAGAAGTTGGGCTCAGTCAAGACCACCAGTACTAACCAAATTGGGAGCCTTTGGAAGCAGCTCTTTGGCAAATCCTATAAAACCAACTCCACATTCTTTCTCTTGGTAGATGGGATCGACCAGATGAACAAGCAACATCTAAAGAAGTTTGTGCAGCTTCTACAGGAATAGCAGAGCACTGCTTCCACATGGCCTCGGTTCACTCTTCATATCCTCCTAATTAAGCGGACGGAGACTATAAACAAGATCCAGACTCAAATCAAAAGCGAAATTTCTGTCATCCATCTGGCCTGCGCGAATCGTGACAATATGATTAACTTCATCAACGACCGAATAAACAAGATGGAGATTCTCAATGGACCGTCGGAACAAGTGGTTGCGCTACACCGCGATATTTTGGAGACCCTGACGAATGAGACCAATGGTGATTTTGTCAACATCAAACTCCTCTTAGATGAAATCAGCCGCAAGAAACGCCCCAGCGAGATCCGCGACATCTTAGCCCGGTCGGGCGAAAATCAATCGGACACGATTGCTAGAAAGGTAGAAATACTCAACAAGACACTCAGCAACGAGAATATCTCCGATCTCAATCATCTGCTCACGTGGATCGTGTTTACAGAATATCCACTCACCCTCGAGGAGCTGGAAGCTGCACTCTTCCTCAAAAATCGTGAGCCTTCTCTCCGGCCTCTAGCAGAGAATATAAGAGACCAGTATTCTTCATTACTTTGCATTGAAGGCGCACGCGTTCATTTTGTCTCCGATTCAATGAAGGACTTCTTCCGCAAAAAGTCTGCCACAGAAGGCACCAGAGACGACCGTGATATTGAAACCGTCGGCGATGTCAGTGAGGCTGAAGTAAGGATTATGCGACGATTCCTTGAATCCATCTGCGACCCGAAACTGTTCAACAGATTCGGATTCGATGAATTCTTTAAGCACAAAATGAGAGAAAAAACAGTACAAATTGCAGTGGACACCGAGACGGCACATCTGATGATCATATCAGCATGTCTGGAGGTTATCTATTCAAAACCATCACCAAATTTGAATCCTTTGCTTCAGTATACAGAGAACAATTTGGGCAAGCATCTCAAGCAAGCGGACCCTTCATTAACTCACCCGCATCAAAAGATAGCAATAGGCCCTCAGTTGGTAAAAGTCTTTACCGATGACGAGGTCATCAATCAATAGTGGAGGGCGAGCAGCTACCAACTTCGGGTCCTATGGATCTACAACAATAACTATACAGAAGTCACGTTGAAATGGCTGCAAGATTCTGCCGTCACCAAAAATATCTGCGAGGAGGAGAAAAAGTGGGTCAAGAGTCTGAGTTCCAAATCGGAGCTTGATGCCGATCTCCTTGAACATATCGGCAGAGTCTGTGCTCGCAAGTGGCTCCAGTACGGTCCAAGGAACCTTGAATATGTGTTCAATGACGTGCGTGGGTACATCACCAAGGTATATCATAACCATACGCTACCCGGCAAAGATCCACGGCTGACTCTTCTTCAGATTGAGAACCGTAAAGATCCTAAGATCGAAAGATTGGTCAATGACCCAGACACTGAGCATGTCCACACCTCCCATATATTAGCTGCAGCAAAATGGGCTCAGGCGCAGATTGGACTCGATACTCTAGGCTATGAGGAGAACCGTAATTTGGCACGTACTTTGCAAGTCTTTGGCAAGTACGATGAGGCTATCGAGCATTTCAAACTTACATCTACACTCGCGCAGGATAACTGGTCCTCACAGTGGGGACTAGCAGACTGTTATGCTGGCCGGAAGGAGTTTACCACCGCTATCGAAATTTTGGAGGTTACAAAAAGAGGAATTGAGTATGGAGAATCAGGAAATGCTGCAGAGCTCAAAGCTGAGCTAGCGGATATGAATCGAGACCTAGCTGAATGGAACAAGGAGGCTGGTCGAAGTGAAGTAACTCTTGATATTTACGACAAGCTACTACAAGAGTTCCCCGATGACTATGATACGGCTCTTGCACTCATGGCGCTGTTGCATAAGCAGGGGAACTACCAGCGTTTGCTTGAGTTCCTCCAGTCAATGAAAGATTCTATAGATGAGATCAGTGGTTTCAATCGGCAGATTCAAAATTTTCATAGGCATTTTGATCGGCCAGAATACCATGAAGCTCTCTTTGCATCAGTTCGCAGCGACCGAGAGTTCAACATCATACTCCAAAGCTACGAGGCAGCCATTAATGCTGCCAAAACACGAGTCGCGCAGGGAAGAAAGACCAACAACCCCGAAGAGGAATGGAGGGCACAAATCTGCCAGATTGAATTGATGTATCACCTTGCACTTCTGCATTACGACAATAGTGCCGGAAACCTCGACCGGGTGGAATTAGCTATCAATCAGTGGCTGGCAATTCTGCATATGAATGCAAATGATGACTTTATTGTTGCAGACAGAAAAGCGCGTGCCGGCTCAGAACTTGCTATCGTCTGCTTTGAGCAAGCTCTACAGTACCCAAGCACTGCTGCAACTTACCTGGAGCAACTAGAGAATGTCGCAGCGCTCAAACTCGGGGAAGATACTATTCATGGTACACATCCGGCGCGACTTCTTGCTCGGTACCACGCCCTGCAAGGCGACGAACAGAATGTCAAAAATGTCCTACGCGGCTACATCAAGCAGAACCTTGACCTTCTTTCAGATGATGATCCACTCAATGACTGGCAAGGATACAATGGTTTAGCTATGCATTTCATGTTCGCCGGCCATGATGCCGACGCTCTCGCCGCTTGGTCATTGATAACGCCCGATGATGCCACGGGAAACACTGAAAATCTCACTATGTCTGACACAACTGAGCGTAAACTCGCGGGACCCTTGAGAGACATTTGCGATGGGGCCTGTGGCATCTACTGGACGTACGCAGACAATTTCTACCTTTGCAAGGAGTGTGATTACATCAAGTTTGACCAACGGTGCTTGGACAATCTGCGGAATGGGACGATGAAGCTAAAAATTTGTAAGAAAAATCACGAGATGCTCCACATTCCGGCCTACGATCCAGTCGAGCGACGGAGAATTGGCGACGGCAATGTGAAGGTCGGCGAAGAGATCCTGTCAGTCAATGAGTGGCTGCAGCGAATTCGCAAGGGATGGGTAATACAGTCAGCCGAGGAGTTTAGAAAAATCTGATCTCATGAGCGAGCAACAGCGAGCAGCAGCGAGAAGGGTGAATACACCAGGAGGGGGCCAGTGTCAGAAACTGAAGTGAGAGTGGATGGGAGTTAGTCAAGATCGTTGGACCGCCGCATTGGCCTCCTCGGATGAACATTCTAGGAGCAACTTGAACAACAGCAACAAATTGGTTCGAGACATGGAGGGGTATCTTTCCGCCAGACGAGAGTTAACTAGCAGGCACCGCATAGTTAGCAAAGCGCTGCAGATGATAAAATTTCCAGAGTAAGATGAATATCATTCCATACCAGGATGAGACCTTCAAGGCGGAAATCATTATTATAATCCAGCAGGCCAGGCTAATCATGATTAATATAGTTTATTCATATTCTTATAATAGTTATCATATAAAATTAATCTATAGTTTGAGAGTAATTTAAATATAGTCAGTCTATCGTCTATCTAAGATTATTTCTATCATAAATGGTAGAGTACCTTAATATACATGCAGTTTTCTGTTCTTTTATCCATAGTTAGAGTTGCTATACCTGATCGTTATACCTTACCCGTGACTTGGCCGTTAACTGGCAGTCAGGTTAAGATAGAGATTGCTGTTAACTATCAGGTATAGCAGTTGAAAAGTATTTAACCGCGTTTGACTATTTAACCTGATCAGGCATATATCAGAAAGAAGTCAGACATCTACCTAGCTAAATCAGGCTAGTTCAGATAAAAGTCTATTTACCGCTCCGCACTGCCTTTTTGAATAGGACAAATAAGCAAGTTCAGGTTAACCTGACGGCAGATATAAGATGGAGAGTTCGGTTTTCCAATTTGGCAGGTAGGTACAGTCGACCACGAGTCCAGCAGGGACCTCCCAGCAACTGTGAGATGGTGGCTAGGTAAAAGGAACATTGACCGTACAGGTGAGGGGCTCTAATTACTGGATCTAGCTGAACGTATAACCACCTGAAGGACTTTTCATAGACGGATAGCCCTCTACTGGAGTTGTCCTACGAATAATAGATCATTATCCCAATCCTGATCCAGTGACACTACCTTCTCACCAGCTTAAATTGTCGAAAGCCTAGCATAATCACAATCATGTTAAGGACTATATCACAAATGTTCGGCAGGTAGAGAAGCGAGCATTAGATATCTCTTCATGCTCCATTAGAGAGATCAATCCACGAATTTAAGGGCGTCAAGCCACTCCCTACGTTCATCATCATTCTTGGCTTCACGTTCCAAGAATCTCTGCACGCCCTCATCGAGCTCCCTCCTGGATCTCTCATAGTCTATCTCATCGACCCTGCCATCCCAATGTTTGAAGCAGCCAGTGTCAGCTATAAATGTATCCATGAGCGCAATCCCTTGGGCCCACAGTTCACCATCTTCTTCTTGCTGCTGAACATCTTCGGTTGAGAATTGCAATGGACATGGTATGCGAGGAGAACTGCCATCATCCCCTATACCGACGATTTGCGCCCATTCCTTCTGGACATCTCTCAATAAGCTGTTCAGGAGCGGCTCGTAATCCATCAAAACCAAGCCGGGAACCACACTGACTTGATGCCGGAGGGTACTCTGGTTCTGTAAAGCTTGGAAGACGGTTTCATTGGCCTGAAGACATCGAACTAGATAAAGATTGTGCAGAGTTTGCGCTCTCTGAAGTTCCCTTGCCTTGCGCTGTTCATCTGCATTCATCTGATCAATATTTGACGGTAGGGGAATTTTTCCCAGATCCTTAGGAACTGGGCCGTTGTAATCGAGAAATGCAGGGCGCCCAACCTGCATAAGAAGCGGATGCGCACTGGATGACTGCCAATCGATGATCCCAAAAATCTGGCTTGGTTCTTCGGGGTTGACAAATATGTTCTGCGAATGGAGATCTCCATGCCATATAACTGATGCATGTGTGGCTTGATTCTCCGGCAGAACATGTTGCGCTACCTTGAGATAGTTTTCCAACGCCGGCAGTTTCTTGGAAATGCTAGGTTGGTATTGCCGGGGCCCATGGAAAAGACCTTCCGGCATCAATGGATACCGAATACCTGCTTTGGCAGTAGCAATTTCCTTTTTGGCAATCGCCGTTATCATCTCAGTGACTGTTGACCCTGGGTAATGTATACGAATCAGCAAATTGGACGACAGATCACAAAAGGCGGTGATCAACATACATGGGCCCCGGTCGATATGCAGTTCACCTCTCCCAAAGTCAAAGAACGAGCGATGATTGGTTGGTCCAATACAGAACCTTTTGCTCCGCAGTTCGTTCCCCGCAAAGTCAGAGTATAGAGAGGAATCTGCGCCAGCATTGTCGGGAATATCATCCACATAGTACAGTGACCCGAATCTGGCGAATCTCGCAGCTGCTAGGCGCCGTTGGATATCAACTATCTGATCCAGGACTTGGGCCTTCTGCCTCCCTTTGAGGCTGTCCCATACATCTGTCAGGACCACACCGGCCTGTTTCTCCATGATAATGTACTCTGCCCCGAGAGGGTTTTCCGATGCTCGGGAGCTCCATGTGTAGACTCGAGGAACGGGGAGCTTTAGAGTGTTTCGCAACTGATATAATTAGCAAAACGACGTCGACAAGGGGCAGAAACAAAGCCAGTAATAAAATGATCCAGGCAGGTCTTACAAAATCCATAGTTGCAACCTCACTAGCTGTCGTGAAATGTGGCCTTCCTGCATTGGGGTTTGGGAGCTTCGCTATAATTTCGTGTCCATCGTCCATGGTTATTTGGAAGACTTTATTGTATTGGCCTTCCGATATCTTCAATACTTGAATGCATGACTTTGATCCAACGGCAGAGGAAGCTATTTGTAAAAGTGCGGAGAGATCGAACTTAACATATCGACAAGCAAGTTCCTTTTTTTTTATTCCAGAGCCAGCGACCTGAGGTAAATTCGTTTAGTGCCTCGAGTCCATGCTTGGGGTCTGGGCCTTCATTCATCTTGGTAGCGCTGGAGGAGGAAAAAGAAGCCGGTCTGAATGTATCACGAAGGTTACAATGGCGACAAGACGCGGTATCTAGGGTCCCTCTTAGAAACGCTCCTTGAATGGCCCTCATATCCAAAGCTCAAGCGTCGTGGGATGAATTTTCATTTCTTCGTCACTAAGCAACAGTCCGTAGGGATGCATGAAAACAAGGAAGTCGCGTTGCTGTGGTCTTGACGGTGGCTGTGGCTGTGCATTTGATTCTTATTAATCCCGTCACCTTGCCGCTGCGAAAATGCATGTTATTAGCCGCCCTTTTGCATCCCTGCTTACGGCGGTTAATAGCGGCCATCAGGCAAAAATGATTTTTGGTGTTGAAGTATGCTCACCGCTGATCTCACTGTTATATAATATTTATTATTACTTTATGTATAGTGTTTTATTTATTTATTATAATATTAATTATGGTACGTCCAGTCATTGATCTTAAACTATATAAGATTAAAATTATCAGTCTGTTTTATGAGGATTATTCTACAGCTTATATTATCTCTATTATTAAGATATAATATTATATATAAGTCTGTGAGCATATAATCAAGACTAAGTTAAGTAATTAAAATATTAATAAATATAATTATATAATTATTACTGATTTTTTTCTACACAGCTGGATTAAGAAGTTATTTTTTAAGAAATATTTTTCTGATACAGAGATTCTATATACTTTATAAATTAAAGAATATACTGTCTTTTTATAAATATTTTAATAAATTTATATAAAGTAAAGTCTTATCTAATAAATAAATAATTTTAATAAATATTAATTCTAGAATAATATAGCTATAAAATACCTGTTTAAGATATATAATAAAAAGATTATTAAAGATTATAAATAAAAGTTTTTATTTATTTATATATATAATAAATATCTTATTATTCTAAGGTCTGTATAAAAAGTAATTATATATTAATATTTTATTAATTAAAATTTTCTTCCAGATATTAATTATATAATATTTATTATATAATTATATTTAAAATTATATAATAACAGCAGAATAATATACAGTAAAATTATAATTTATATATAATTTTTAAACTAGATTATATCTGGTCTATAGATAGTTATATAAAATTAAATTTATATGATATTTAAATTTATATAATTATTAATATATATTTTTACTATATTATCTAGATTTATATTAATATTAATACTTATATATTAATTAATATTATATAATAATATCTTAAACTATATATAAATAGAAGATTATTTATAATAAAATCTATTTAAATTATAGATTAAAAATATTTTTATTTATTAAAATTTATTATTATTTTTAAAGAGTGTACAAGCTAGAGATTGAAATAATATAATATTATATTTTTAAATCTAGTACTATAAATCAGAGAATTAAGATTTAGTAAATATAACTAAGTAAATTATTATTCTTTTAATATTATATATATATAAATAGATTAATCCTTGATTACTTTTATATTAATTAATATAAAATTACTTTAAAATCTTGATTAAAGTAGAAGATTTTTTTAAAAATTTAATTTCAAATTAGATTATTTTATATATAATTTATATATTTATTTTTTAAATATAGATTTTATTATATATACATATCTAGAATTAATATAGTATCTAAAAATAATAAGAAAAGCTATATATTATCTCTAATTAATTATATATAAATTATTATTATTTAAAATATATAATTAATTATAGTCTTCTTGTATATAAAAAGTCTTTTTAATAATTAAAAAATTTTATATAAAATTAAGATATAATTAAGTATTTACCTGCAGAAACTTTAAAATAATATTAGAAAATCTTACTAGAACTGGGCTTTGATCCTTAAAAACTTCTAACCATATATTTAAATAAAGTAAAAATCTCTTTTTATATAATTTATTTTAACTTATAAGAATAAATAATAATATATATAAAATCAGGCTTAATATCTGACCTGATATTATCTAAGGTATTAATTAGAGTTTTTAATTAAATTAAATAATAGAAATTAAAGTAATTATCTGTGATAACTGTATATTTTTTATTTATTATTTTTTTAATTTTATTATTTATTTAAAATTTTAAGATTCTGCTTTTCTCTGTACAGAATAAAAATTAATATTTTTTATATTAAATATTATTTATATAAGATATTTCTTATATAAAATAATTTTTTTTTAAATTATTTATTATTCTGTTACTAGCTATTCTTATTTTATTTATTATTAATAATATCTAACTTACCAGATAGTTAATCCTGTATTTAAATAAATTATTTATATTAATTTTATTATATTATTTAAGTTATAATTTATATAATTTATATAATCTAACTTATATATATAGATTATCTTATTTAATAATAGTTTTTATATAACAGTATTTAGAGAAGAGAATATCCGCTAAAATATTTTTTTATATAAGAAAATTTTAATCAGTATTAATCTTATAATTCCTACAAGAAATCTAGATTAACTATATTTATTTATATATATTAATATAAGATTATAAGTATTTACCCGGCCAGGAATATAATTTATTAAATTTTAATATAATTAAATTTATATTTATTAAATTATAATATATAAATTAAATTATATTAATATCTTACTGATATAATCTCAGGAAATTTATTTATTAATTTTATATTTTAAATACTATACTAGTATAGAGAATATTTTTTTAAAATATTATTATTTATCAGATATATTCAGTAATATTTATATTAATTATAAATAATCTGATACTGGTAATAATTATATTATCTAAAATTTAATATAAAATATTTTATAAAAAATTTATTTTTTTATATTTATTATTAGCAGGGGATTATCTATATCAAAAATCTTTTATAAAAATATTATTATTATAAAAAAAGAGAAAAAAAAAAGAAATAATTATTATATTAGTATTTTTAATATATCCGGATTCTCTAATTAAAAAGAAGAATCTAGGTATTAAGAAAATATTAATTATTATTCTTATTAATAATGAGCTTATTATTATTAAAAATAATAATAATTATTTAATATTTTCTCACTGTCCAGCCAGGCAGGAGATACTAGATAATTAAAATTTATAAATAAAATAAATCTAGATAAATATAATATTATTTTTTTAATTATTAATATATATTTATATTTATACCTGCATCTGTACTCCAGTTATATAAAATATTTATATATAATATTTTAAGCAAGACTTACATTTCTTTATAGTACTTAGAACTAGTAGTTATTTATATAATAAAGCTAAGTAAATTATCTAATAGTGTATATATAGCTTTATATAAATATTAAATATAGATATATTAAATAAGCTATATGATCCAATCAGCTATATACTAATTCTACCGGCAGTAAACATAAAAATTGTTTTTGCCTGATGGCCGCTATTAACCGCCGTACCCTGCTACTCCGTACCAGCCATGGATTAGGAGAGCGGGATAAAGCTTACTAGTTAGCTAGCCCCCCTCTAAAACTCACATGCCGCACATCCGCATGTCCGAAGTCAATCTACTTTCTGAACAGCAAGTTGGAGGACCGGATAGTTGAATTTTGATACGCAGATGTTTATACTACTCCGATCGTTCTAAAGGTTGATCGATCTGTCGATGCATGCCGACCGCCCAGCAATCATTCTCGCGCAGCTTTAATGGGTCATTTCCCGTTTTTAGTTGACGGAGTCTCGCAGCTGTTGAATTATCTCCGCATTGCTCGAGCTTAACATTTCCAGTTGTGGAGGGTATACCATGGCTAGGGTTGGAAATAAACCAAGGGATGGAACTCTCATTAGTAGCATACCAAAAACCGTGTCACGGCAATGGTGGGCGACGGGACATTACCATATTGAGGGAGAAAGAACAATAGCAGGGCGGTCTGCTTTTACCCGCCACCACATTGACTTGAGCTTCTGTCAATCCAACCACCTCATTCGCTCTTGACATTTGAGTTCTTGTTCTCTGTACTTTCGATTGTTGCTGTACTCGTAATTTGCCATTAGCTTTTACTTCTTTGTCTACTCATAGCTACTACTGACTACTATTGACCCGTACCAGGAAGCCACATGGCGTTGCTATATATTCTGCTCCTGCTCGGTTTTCGAACCTCCCCATGTCGATGATATAGGCTCCTGAGACTTTTCCCTCCACAAAGAAAAATGTCTAAGAAGCATACTGTCCTAATTACCGGCTGCTCTGATGGCGGTCTCGGCTCCCATCTTGCCCTCCAATTCCAGGCAGCCGGATGGCGCGTCTTTGCCACAGCTCGAAATTTGTCCAAGCTCAAGGAGGCTAAGAAGTCGGGCCTTGAAATACTTCATCTCGACACCCTGTCTAACGACTCCATCCGCAAATGCGTTGCTGAGGTTAGTGAGCTGACCGGTGGATCACTTGATGCGCTGGTCAATAATGCGGGCGCTGGGTACTCAATGCCAGTCATGGACATCGACATCCAAAAGGGGCGTGATCTTTTCGAGCTCAATGTCTGGTCTATCATCAGTGTGACGCGGGCATTCCTTCCACTTCTCATGCGGTCAACTCGCGAAGGCGGCGCCCTGCTCGTTAACCATGGCTCGCTTTCTGGAACTATTGCAGCCACTGGCCCCTTTGCAGGTGTATACAATGCCTCCAAGGCAGCAGCAGCTAGCTTCACGGAGAATCTACGATTAGAGCTGCAGCCGTGGAATATTAGAGTCGTCAACTTGCTAACGGGTGCTGTGCGATCCAATTTTCACGTCAATGCGCCACGTCCCGTGTTGCCTTCAAATTCGCTCTTCAATATTGCCAAGGATATTGTTGAACAAGCCATGGATAACTCAGACGATTCTGGTGATACTGATCCAGCGACATGGGCGCGCCAGGTTGTGCAAGAACTCAGCAAGCGCAGCCCTGCGTATTGGATCTGGCGAGGCAAGTTCTCGACATTGGTAAGACTGGGTAACATTCTTCCACTGGGCTTCTTCGATCGCATAATGAAGAAAATGGTAGGACTTGACGTGATTGAACAAAGGGTCAAGCAGCAAGAAAGGTCTTCTTGAACAAGTCGTGAAATACCCTATAGTGACGGATTAATTTGCGATTTAGGCGTTATGCCAGGCCCACAAGACATACCCGCTCTTTGTATATATCACAGTGACCAGGGAGGGCGAGAGGCTTATTGTTCCAAATGGCTTGAATCGACTACGGTAGCATGGCTAATTGCATGATTTATAGTCCTAAGATGTCATCGTAGTAAGGCCCGAGTGCCAAGGCCTAAATCTGTTTCCACAATGGACTCGGCGTGTTGGGGTCCATCGGGAATGTAAAATGAAGCAAAAGCTAGTTAGTAGAACACCCCCGACCTACTAGTGGTTAGTTCAGTAGTAGCTCATCGAACTTCTAATATTAGTGTACAGTATATATCTCGATATTCTGCCCCGATTACGCCCAAGCTTTTATAAATGCGCGGATCAATCAGTCGTTACTTGGCATGCGGGGTTACAGTGATATGGCTATTATTGGTTCGCGTCCATCGTCCATCATCTGTACTCCTTTGCCTTGTGCCCCAAATATACCGTAGTGATGAATGTACTTACTTAAGCGCTGACCATGCGATGAGGCCAGTCGGAATATATTGCTGCTGAGTTTACCCAATCACTTCACTGCCCAGTATATCATCTGCATAGGGGAATCGTTTTGCCTGCTGTCATGCATACAACTACTCCTTCGGCCCATGGCATGAGGCGGTGAGTTGGATTACTGAATCAGTGGGAACCGATCGTTAGTTAGCACGGCCCAACGCCGCTCGCTCGACTCTCTGGTTTCAATGCGCACCGATCGGAACTGTCGATTTAAACTCTTTTGCAATCTCTCTGGGTCGCAGCTATGAGTATCTCGCCCCCTCCCACCCCTCCATCAAGCGCCCCAACGGATGATGAAAGGAGATTCGAAGCTATTTCATCACCCTGCGAGTGGATCGAGGAGTACCATCCAGGTGGTTACCACCCCGTCATTCTCGGCGACTCCTTCAACAATGGTCAGTACAAGGTTATCCGGAAGCTCGGTGAGGGCTCATACTCAACGGTTTGGCTCGCCCGTAACGAGAAGTGAGCTTATATTCACTGTTCCTACTGCGCGATGTTCTAAATGGCCTTCATTGATACCCCTCTAGAAACACTAGATATGTCGCTTTGAAGATTCTTGTGTCCCATCAAACGGGATCGATAACCGAGCTAGACATCTTACGATACATCACTAAAGCGGCGCCAATAGAAGCTGCCGGCCACATCACGGGACTGCTAGACGAGTTCGAACACTCCGGCCCCAACGGTGTCCACAAATGCCTTGTATTTGAGCCTATGGGCCCGAGTGTGAATTCGATGGTCGAAGAGCTACCCCAGTTCAAACCTCGAATGTTTGGAATGAAGGTACGCTATCCGCCATGGATGGCGAAAAGTATTCTGAAGCAATCATTGGAGGCTCTAGCATTTTTACATCGGAATGGTATTGCGCATGGAGATTTTCAGCCAGGAAATATCCTCTTCACTCTCGAGGATCTCAAATCAACGCCGGAAGAAGAGCTCCGGCAAGAGGAAAATGTAGAAGCTGAGTCGATCTCGCCCCCAGTACAGAGGCTAGACGGCAAGCAAGACAAATGGGCGCCTCGGTATCTTTGTGTTGCACAGCCTCTGTCGCCCTTCACACATTACGCTGAAGGCTTTAAAGTCAAATTGTCCGATATGGGCGGCGGTCAGTCCCACTTGATTCCAATATTCATTCTATGCTCCTTACGATTATTACTTGTACTCATTCTTGCCTATAATGAACAGCATATTTCTTTTCAAAGCCCCCAAAAAAACCCGTTACTCCCCTTGGCCTTCGGGCTCCCGAGCTTATCCTGACTGGAGCCGTTAATAACACGCTTGATATTTGGAGTTTCGGCTGCCTTATTTTTGAGCTTATCACCGGAGAGCCGCTCTTCTGCGTCCCTGGATCCGAATATGAAAATGATGATCATCTTCTCTCCCTTACAGAACGGCTCGGTGCCCTTCCTGATGATTTATTCATACACTGGAAGACCTCCTCGCTTTACTTTACGCCTGAGAGGAAGCTGTTTAATTGTCAAATCGGAGGAGTCGGTCCGGAAGAGGAACCACTTTTGGTGGATCAGATATCCATGGAGGAGCAGTTCGACTCGACGGAGCCGGATATTGATTTGAAGGAAGCCGACGAAGTGAAGGGACTCATTCGATGGATTTTACAGTATGATCCTGCAAAGAGGCCTTCTCCTGCCGAGATATTGTCTCATCCATGGTTCCGCAACATTGATATTGGGCGCCTGTAATGAAAGGGACTCATTGACGGATGATACTTGTCTCTGCTGTTCTTCTCCCTTCCTGTTTCTAGTTCATCCATTGTGGTGTTTCGTTTTTGTATTAGACCGCGGACACTACTTAAAGGAAGCTCCGAGCGGGCATACGAAGCCCACAGCTAAGCTCTGTTTCATTGGGCGTGGGAACGCGTAGTCGGTATTCTTTGTATGCTCGGAAACATTCGCCTACCAAACTTTTGCCAGTGTACTCACAGTCTTGGTATGAGCCCTCCTTCCTCGTGGCGGTTGTTGGTTACTGAGTAAATGTAGCATTGTAGTAATGCTACTTTCTGTACGCTGCTCAAAGTAGCGGCCAAGTCCTTGTGGAGAGGTTGGTCACTTCTTCAACACACGTCACACGAGGTGAACTCCATTCTCACTTCTTATTGCAAACTACGTCTTTGGAGAATACCCGTACTAAGCACCACTTCCCTTTATTAGATTTTGCGTAAGTACTCTGCCTAACTATGCTATATTCTTGCTTAGTAAGTGATATTATTCTTTGAATGCAATAGGAGCCGCGTCAATGTCCCAGGTTACACACTGGCGCAGCTTACGTGCTGCTCAGAGTATTACCAGCGTTCGAAGGGACGCTACTCTCAATTGAAGATGCGGATGCAGCCGAAGCAATGGTCAATTTTTCAAAGTCGACAAAGAATCCATCGTCATCGTAGTCGAATGAACCAGAGCTGGTGTAAGCATTGGTGACGCAGTCTCTTCCCAAGTACGTCTCGCATTGGCTTAGATCGGCTGACTCAGAGCTGAACAGCTGGCCGACAAAGCCGCTCTGCACAATCGTGGGGACATTGTTGAACCAATTGCCTTCAAAGAGTCCCATTCCGTTGTCGGTGCCTTCAATGGCGTGTCCGCTGTTATCGGCCCAGACATTGTTGACTGCGTGGAAGAGTGTATTACCACTGAGGGCGGGACTGCGGCCGGAGGTGTAGTAAACGTAATTCTCTGAATTTGCCATTAGTTCATCTCCAGGTTCAATTACTGGGATGCAGATCTAGTCATTTTGAGACTCACTGTAAAAAGTAATGAGGTCACTGGAGCCGACCAACTCGAGGCCCCAGTACGTGTGTCCATCACAGGTAGCAGAGTAGTCGGTCTTCCCGTTGATAAAGCTGTTGGAGATTGTAATGGCATTGTCGCTTTCTTGTCCAAAGCTGTAGTGCTGGCGACCTAGGGATGAAGTGGTGACATGGTCGATCCAAATCTGGTTGGTGTCGGAGAATGTAAGAGCATCGCCTCCCCAGACATATTTCGGGTTGAGGTTGGTGATCTCGATGTTCTGAATGATGATGTTGGAGACGCCCACGAACCGCAGGCCCTTACCATTGAGCACAGCGCCTGTTCCTTTGCCGACCAGAGTTTTGTCTGAGGCGACATTGATGCCCTGGTATCCTGCAACGTCGATGGTCACGTCATAGGTTGAGGTGTCACCACATCCACCTAGCGTGTTAAGAATGGCCTGTCCGCCGTTATCGGGAGTGCAATCATAAATGTTACAGGCCTGATAGGTTTTGGTGCCCTCAGAACCCACAAAGTCGAAAGTGCCCTCGATCACAATGTTTTGGGGCGAAGAGGAGGTGAGATACTCTTTCAGCTCGTCGATCGTTGTCGGATAGACAGGAGTCGCGTCGCCTCCTCCCGTCACGCCCGCCGCAAAGCCGGGGGCACTCCCAGAGACAATGGAAGACTGCGCTGCCTTGGAATGGTGCGCGAAGGCCATCAAGGCCATAATGGTGGATGGAAGGTCGGGCCTCATATTAAAAGCGCGGTGTATGACCAGAAAATTGATTTCTTGAGGTTGACTATGTGAGTAGCTGTGGGCAGAGGTCCCTAAAATGCATTTATGCTACTAGATTGCCGAGGGGATACAATTCCCATCCGCGGGTTTGGGGGACTGTTTGTCTTCAGCTGCTATATTGAAAACATCATCCGCTGGCCGCATATCCTGTCATTTCCCGCACAAATCTTTGATTGGGTGTTCGGGTTAGATCCACCAACAGGATTGTAGCAAGTGGGCATGTGTTCTTCACTAAACATATCAACTCCCAGGATTGATTTCATGTCACTGGAATTTCCGGCCAGTCACAGAGTGTCAACCAAAATAGCATAAGGGGGTTGCAGCACGATGCGGACAATGCTCCGTGCTGAACACCGGATCCCTCGTGTCGAGTCCCGGAAACCCCGTGTCTCATCCAAGCCCCCACTCGGCACGGAAGGTGTCCAGTCCGAACGTTTCCAACCAAAGGAACCCCCTGCTGCATTGAGCTTGACGTATATTATTGATGCAGAAGTTTCTGTTCCCCCTCGACTAGTTCCTCCGGAAAATTACTCGAAAAAGGTTCGATCAACAACACATAATCAGTATGCTCCGATCGTAGTAAAGATACGATGGTTCTGTAGTATATGCCGTGACGGTCAGTGGGGCGCCAAGCAGGGACCCTTACCGAACTGACCGGTTCAGCGCCATATCAAACCTAGCGGCGTTTAGTTGTTTGAGCATTGCCCATGCGATCCAAGAAGAACTCCTTTGCTTTGTTAACTGATAAGACTTTCGGGCGCTTGATTTTGGCATTCTTCCGGTTACCCATCTCTTCAAATCGTTATCTCTGAGCATGCACACATGAGCCGCCGGATACAAACACTTGCAAGATGATATTTCTAATTGAAAGACTGGAGGAAACTTTGAGCAGCAAGAGACGACTACACGAAATCCGTACTCTACAGAAGCCCCATATGTGCCAAGATGTACCTAGAAAGCTCCTGTGGGGAATGTATGTGTCACAGTGCCACAGTTCACAACCCACCCCTGATGTTGTCCCGGTCAACGCCGGCAGACAGTCGGACACCCCATCCAACCCGGGAAAATAGAGCGATGATCTCCTTCCTAGCCGTTCCACATGCGCCGTCATATCGGGCTATTATCGTTTTTCCGGAATCCAACCCCGTGCCAATGCTACGATTTAGTGGTCCGTTGTCTGTAAATATATTACTCGCTCGGGAGCTATAATTACTCCGGTTTGCTAAAACACTCCTAGAGTGGACAAGTCCGGACTCTAGGAAGCATAGACATCTGTACTACAGAGCGAATCCATAACTAGACATCGGCTGATTATGACCTTCATTGCGCAAAAGATCCAGTTGAAGGAGAGAACTTCATGGTCCTTGCCATCCTGACCTCCTCAACCACTCCTCAAATGTACTAACCCGCACTCCAAGATCCGCCCCGGAGCAATCCTCCTGGGGGGTCATGGTCCCATAGCAAATTTTCTCATCTGGCGCAACAGCAATCCATTCCATCATTTGCCTGATGTCCTCTTCATACCCCTTCCCAACCGTCCTTGCGACTGTGGCACCCCAATCATCTAGACTGATAGGATCGAAAATTGCCGGTTGATATCGCACGGTCGAAAAAATGGCCGGAAGATCAGCAAAGCGCATCTTAGAGCTGACCACTGGATATACTTTAGAGGCCGTCTTTTCAGGTCCAAGAGAAAACACTTCTAATTTTTTCGACAGCCATTAGCTACTACCGTAAGATATAACGAGGGTAGATTGTGGTATTGGGTCCAACGTGCCAGCTGCATATATGCCGATATCATAGCTTGGATCGGTCCAATCAGCGGTTTTGTTCCCGGGAACCGGCGGACAAAAACGGACGATCCCGTTTTCTACACAACGACGACGATTAGTATTGCCGCAATGCTACCTGTGAACATGGATACACCTACCGTTTCGCTGGCAGTATTGCACCCATTGTACATTCGTGTAAAACAGCCCTTCGCGCGGCACAACAAGTAAGCCTAAGTCCAGGCACATCGGATTCTCTCGGGATGAGCTACTCACCAGGCCGCAAAGCCGTCACGGCGGTCAACTCGCTCTTTGCGAGTTGCTCAATTTGAAATTTATGGTCGAAATGGAATACCTTTTGAAATTGCCCCTTGCTCGCGTCCGCCAGATTGGGTAGACTGCTGATAACAAAATGACGCACCCCAGATACTTTGGCAGCGGCCACGATATTCCTTCCCGCTACCAGCTCATGCTCAAGGTCCTCTTCGGTTTCAATCATTTGCCCGGGGAGACGATTATTTGTGACTGCAAACACGCCCCAGACCCCGTCGAAGGCGCGCTCTAGGCTTGTGACGTCATAGACGTCGCCAGGCACGAGCTGTAGTCGGCCAGAGACTTCTTCTTCTGGATAGACGGCGCGCAATCGTTCTGCTTGGGGGGAGCCGGGATCACGTGTCACAGCACGAACGGTGAACGAGGCTGGGTGATGCGGGCTTTTCTGCAATAAGGCACGGACAACTCCGCTCCCTTGATTGCCCGTTGCGCCCAGTACAGCGATAGTGCGGGGGGTGGTGGTCGATGTTGTCATAGTTGAGAGACAGATGTTTGGCTAGAATATTTGTGTGATTTCACGGTCAATAGTGGGTGTAATCCTGGAGGGACAGTTGCGATCGAGAAGTTTTGAGACCATACACGACTCAGCCTTCGCATGTGCGATGGGATAATTTGGCCAGTCATTGTAAAGTAAATGGAAATCAAGCGCGGCCGGAATTACGGAACAGACTGTGTATATATCGAGGCCAGCATCTTGGACGTGCGGGTAAACCCCACCTTGAGACCAACCAGGGAGCGGTTTGGTTATGGACAAGGCAATTTACTGCCTGGAATTATTATATGAATGACCCCGATTTTCCACGAAACCTGGGGAGGCAATAATAATGCTGCTTACTCATATATCCGGACACGAATTAGTTACTAGTAACGGACTAGCCTTGCCGAGGATGTGGTGAGCAGGTCGGATGTGAGTAAGCGAATCACTGCCGATAAAACTTCTTGGCGATGCAATCTGATTCTGCCTCAGCTTACGTTTGAACACATAGTACCGTATATTACACTTGTCTCGTATATTAGGCAAGGGATATATAACGGGCTTGTAGTCAGTAGTACAGCGATACGCCAAATCCATAAGCCGATCCGCTGAGTGAGAACCTAGCAGTAACACTTACATATAATAGAATCATCAACTGCGAGAATACACAATATGAGCTGCGCCCGGAAAGAGGCATACCTTGCGCTCTATACAACTAAGACTATCTATGTAGTCGGCCTCCATGACACTAATACCTAGGTTAATCTACCTAACAGGTTGCTTTGTTGCTTTTATGAGTATTATTGTCTTCAATAAGGGCAGGACATTCGTAAAGATCAGCCCAAATTTAAAGTCAAGTGATTCAATAATAATAGTATGCCCGAGCTGCAGAAACCCATTGTGGTGGGTTTTCTCACAGGGGAGTTCTTCCGCGCGCAACCAAAGGCTACATGGTCCGATACTGACGAGATAGGTGGCTTCTGGGGGACCATAGACCTGGCTTCATGCTCATATCCGACACAACGATTTGTTTACCATGCTGGCCGAACAGCTGTTATACTATTTGCATCCACCATGACTTGAACGACTCGAGGGACTAATATGGCATTGGTAGACCATGACAGACAACATTACATTCCCCTATCGTGTATGTTCGATATACGACAGTGGAGCCATGTCATGCGTGGCATTCTTTCCTGACGCCTATGGCAGTAAGCACCAGTAGCAAGGGTTTTCTAGTTCTTGATGTTCCAGGGCTATATATACTGGACGAACGATGGACATTGATATTCAAGCTCGTACTAGCTGACATATGGCGTCTCACGAAACCCACTGAGCCCTAAGCCAGTCTCACGAAACCGAGCGTTCATCTCTGAAGTCGACGCAATGTACAGACATGAGTTGGGGTGCCCTAAATTAGATAACTGAGTATGGAAAACTCCTTACATGTTCAATTCAGCAGACGGGGCTGTGAATCTGACACACTGCGCATTTGACGATAGATATGATTGAGATGTAACCTTAGCATGTAGCCTCCGTACGTGAATGTCTTGAGCCCTTATAAGTGATGTATTCGAAGTTTGCTCGTCAAAGTCTGGTAAAAATGGTTTCACTCAATCACGAGCTACGGTAATTGACGCGGAAATGTGATATTGCAGTGATGTATGTAGTGTCGATATATGCCTAACTCATCACAGTGATAAGATTTTGCAGTCATATGTCGGTCAGTGGATGGGATAAGGGTGAAAATGTTTCTTTACTGTGAAATACAGCGTCGGCGCACTAACTGCTAGACCAAAACCGATAGTCAGACTAGGGGCCCAGAGATTACTGTCCCAACATAAAGTGACGATTCTGTTATTCCCTGAGAATATGTGTATATACGAAATGAACAGTGCTTCGAACAAATAGTGGTTAAGTGGGCTCGTACTGCAATTGCTTCAAGAACTTGGCTCGATTTACAGTTTGGCCTGAAACGATCTGTCATTCGAGGCTATTGCCCAGATTCATGAATTGCATTTGGACTGCTGCGGAGAAGGATGAAGTAGTGAGAAACGATATAAAGATGACAGCATTCATGCTGCGATAGTATCCGGGGCTTTTCTGTCCGTAAAAGTCTACTTTCTTGCTTCCGTGAAATTTCTTCCCTCAGCAACATGGGAGGCGCTACTGCCACACCAGCCAGGCTTCTTCCACACCCTCCGCCTATCTTAGAAGTCAAGGTCCGTTTCCTTTAGGCTATTGTCTCCTTAATATCCATTACTGCCTTCCTAATCCGGAAGGTTATTGCCTAAGGTGCTGAAGCCGTGCCTCAAGAACAAAACTCATAAAAGTAGCAGGCGGTAGGCTTCTGCTTGTTGTAGAGACCAAGCCTTACTTTGAATGAACGCAGAGTTACCTCAAATAGTTGGGGCCTTACCTTATATGGTAGGCGGAGGGTGTGGCATGAGCGAAGGCCGGTGTGGAGGAAGCCTGGCTGGTGTGCCGGTAGCGCCTCCGATCAACTTTTTTCTAAGTATCTGCTGGAGCCACGGTAGATAATATGGCAAAATATCGCCTTCGCAACGGAAATTAGATTTTAATCTGTACGAACCCTATGTACTAGTGCAGTCCGCTCGGTCTGTTCGTTGCGAATTCAATTGCAGTTTTCCCGGCCCAGTAATAATATTAGCAGCCAATCGACGGATGACTTGACCATGAGAGCAAAGTACTCGCACAGCTTCGGTGATAGTGTCAGCAAGACAGATATATCGGTGTTCATGGAAGAAGAAATCATATGAGAAAACCAGTCAGATAGGGCTGGCGCCGGCAGCTGGTGAGGGAAAAAAAAAAAAAAAGACCGATAATAGATGGTCGTTGTCACTTGCATTTGGATTCCAAGCACCATATGCTTCTATTGCTCTTGTGAGTAAACTGGCCGGTGTCAGAAAGGAAGAAAGTCAAAGGATCTTGAGTATGGGGCTCATATGTCAATTTGGCTGAACTTGCAACAGCCACAGCACCTGCAGAAATGATAACAGGGTCAAGAACCAGGCCTGGACATCACTTGATTGAACTTCGTACTCCAATCCATGAGTCACATTTTTTGGAATGCTAACGTTGTACGTGCCCTTGCTAGAAGCCTGCGATTGATGCCGACCTACACATATTAGGTATTCGGTCCTGCTTGATGAGGTCTCAGGCCAAGAATTGGAATAGGCTAGTAGCAAAATGCTTGTGGGGCAAAAGAGGAACCCACCAGATCCCCGGCAGATCGCATGCCGCTTGGTGCTTGTAGTAGCCTATTGGCCTCAGCTGAGGTCGCTGAAGGAGATTTCGAGATGCGTGCAGCCTGGCGCTTGCAAACAAAACACGTACAAGATCGGCGTAGGACGGCCTTCCCGGCATGGCGCAATCATTGGATGACTACATACATTTTATCTTTTTGGGATAACCTAAGTAACAGAACCCGTCAGCTACGATTAGACATAGGCATGTCTTAATGGTGTGAGATTCGTCATCTCCAAGAATGTGTGCCATTCCGAGAAGACCACAGAACCCCGAGGTACCGGTAGGGAGTTGGAAAAATTCACATTCAGAGTCATGATGACCGTAGCAACACCCAAGCGCCCAACCTCACACCACTCGGCCGAGATTGTGCATGCATTGTAGTACTGCGCATGAGGTCAAGGATGTTTCGGGGTAAAGGCAGGGGTCCTCCTATCACTCACTACATCCCCTCGGTTATTATCCTGTAGCGCGAAGGGCGGAAAGTGGTAGGGGCTGGCCCATTTAGGACAATGTAGCGCTTCAATCCAATAACGGCACACACAGGACCCCACTGGTAAATTGAAATAGCGTCTAAAAGACGTCTCATTATTTTACACTGCTCTGCATTTTTGAAATCGTGCACGCCTGCTCTACTGCTCGGAAATTCCATCATGACGAAGACCAGTAGCGATGATGTATCCCAAGCTCAGATCCCTCTTTCCCCTTCCCAAGTCAAACCACCACCCGATGGGGGCCTCAAGGCATGGACCCAGTCTGTCATGGGCCACCTGGTATGTTTTAATACCTGGGGCTACCTGGCCAGCTTCGGCGTCTTCCAATCCTACTACCAGAACGAGCTTGGGGTGTCCGAGTCCGCCATCTCGTGGGTGGGGTCCATACAAATCTTTCTCATCTTCTTTGTCGGCACCTTTTCTGGCCGCGCCCTTGATGCTGGCCTATTCCGTCCTGTCTTCTGCGCCGGTGTTCTCCTGCAGGTGCTGGGGGTCTTCATGACCTCGCTCGCTACCAGCTACTGGCAGCTCATCCTTGCCCAGGGACTCTGCACGGGGCTGGGAAGTGGCTTACAGTTCTGCCCGACCATGGGCCTCGTGGCCACGTACTTTGACCAACGACGCGTCTTTGCGGTGGCATTTGCCCTAGTCGGCAGCGGAACAGGGGGCATGGTATTTCCGGGATTGGTGAAGGGCTTGCTCCCGACGCTGGGGTTTGGCTGGACGATGCGTGTGGTGGGATTCGTCATGCTCGCCACCAGCTTACCAGCCATAGGTCTCCTACAGACACGACTTCCGCCGCGCAAGTCCGGGCCCCTGGTGGAGCTGGCTGCCTTTCGTGATCCCGTGTACACGCTCTTTATTGTGGGCATCTGGCTCAACTTTTGGGGCATGTATTTCGCCGTCTACTACTTGGGAGCGTTTGGACGTACAGTCATTGGCTTCAGCTACTCCGAGTCAACGAATCTGATCATTGTGTTGAACGGCGCGGCCGTCGTGGGTCGGTTGGTCCCCGCATATTTAGCGTCTTTTCACCTGGGTCCGCTCAATACAATTATCCCGCTGGCGGCGGCCGCCGGGGTGTTGATGCTCTGTTGGGCGGCGGTCCACTCGTCTGCGGGGCTGTACGCCTTTGCAGTGTTGTACGGATTTTGCGCCAACGGACTACAAGGCATGTGGCCGCCGACGCTGTCAAGCTTGATTACGGACCTGAGTAGGGCTGGAACACGGATCGGCATGGGCTTCACTATAGTCAGTTTCGCGTGTCTGACAGGGCCGCCATTGGGCGGTGCCCTCGTTGCCAAGGCACATGGTTACATTGGAGCGCAGATGTGGGCGGGCGTGGCCATTTTGCTGGGGTCCTTGGTACTTCTGGGTGCGCGAACAGCCAAGGTGGGCTGGCGTATTCTAGTCAAGGTGTGATTGGTTATGTTTGAGAACAAAGCGAACCCGGTGAGCTTGTTTATGTGAAGGCTTGGCAGGCCGAGAGAGAGAGAGAGAGAGAATGTGGGACAAAGAATAGGAGAAAAAGCGTGTATCTACAGGGTCTGGCCGAAGAAACGCCGTAGTAGACTAGAACTTTCAAGTAAATGACAACATAACCTACGAAGTCGTGCGCAGTTCTGTTGAAGCCTGTCATCCGATTCATTTCCTCCTAAATTCCGCTCCCTCTAGGCTTCCTGAAGGATTCCCCAAAGGATTTCACCCCGGCCGCCAAGTCGCGACTTCTCCTTGGCATCACGGTCATCCCGGGCTTTAAATGAGATGCGTGACCGACCGATGCGGAGGACGTTGTTGCCCTGTGAGATCTGCACCCCGACTGCATCTCCCCGATCTTTTCCCCTCATCTGTGTAGCTGCATCCTCTCCCGTGCATGAGGGGAAGGCCAGGTGAAGAGAAGAAAGGCCAATCATCCGTGGCCTTTGCCACACGAATCAATTTGCGGCGACTCGCATTCACGGGAGTTAATGGCGTGCCTGACTAGGCAACAATCCATAGATGCTAGCACATAACTAACCGGATATTGCTAATGCCTCAACGGAAAGAAAGCCCTCCGCTGACACAGGTCTCATTGGGAATTCGCGTAAGCAGCCAATAACGGGCGAATGGATGTAGGGATGTTGCTCATATACCTAACGAGTGATGTGTCAAACCGTAACAAATCTGCTATTAACTGGCTATGGAAAGTGCACCTCCGTTTGTTGCTCTCTCCAAAAGCGCTGAAGATTGGCACGACGTATACACAGGGATTTTTTTTGTGTCCACGAAAATCTAATTTTAACGACTGTGCTTCTCTTGGCACCGATGAATTGAAGATGGGAAACCACTAATGGGGCAGAAGGGCAATATCCCCGCAATTGTCCGTTCATGTTTAGTTACGCTACAGTCTTTCTATTTTTGTCAACGCCCACTGCACTAGGTCTCTTCTCCGTGCTTCTGGTATCGGCTTAGCCCGCCCTCTCGCTCACCCCGACCGCGGCTACATCCGGATGTGAAGGTCCAATCCGAGCAAAGCTGTATTTTATGCAAGGCAGGCTGGCCAAGCACTAGGGTGGAAACTGACCAGCTCTGTGCAGCACTCACGGGCCCGACCGACCTTGGTGGTGTGTCTCGCGGAGCCGATCTTGTTGGTTCGGAGTTTGAGGAGGACCGACGATCTGCGCCTGTTCTAGACCCGAACTTCAGGCTAATAGACAATGCTGTTTTCCCAGCTTGCCAAGAGAGCACTTCTGCAGGATAGAAGAAGCCTAGACTGGGCCCTCAGGTAGGGCTGTGCCAATACTGCTCCTCAGTCATGATTATGCGGGGCCTCATATCGATGTCGGGACGCAGTTGATGAATTCAACTCAATTTGATGTATAGATTTTGAAACCGACATTAGGTTGCCAGACGAAAGTATGGCTATACGCCGTGCAAGCATGGGACAGGACCAGTTCTGCCGTATAGCGACCACCCGCAATAGATTTCCTGTGGCCGCTTGGGCGTATAAGTGATTCGGATGCATCTTCTGACAACTGCATCATAGAATGTTCCTGGCTTAGCACCTTGCCATCTTCCTTTCACAATATAGGGTCCTAGATTAGCCTCTTCTATCTGTGCCGATGCGTAGTACCGAGGCCAGCCACGTGATCCTGTCTAACGCCCTGAATTACTATCCCTTTGTTACCGCTGTAAGGCCCATTTTTGTTGCGAGTAAGTGCTGTATGCTCACACACGATGGATTCAACCACATGCATCCCGCCCGACGCGCATCCTGGTTCAAACAATAGAGGGTTACATTGTAATTCGGCAGAGGGCGTACCCGGGTGTCGTGTAGGAAAGTCCACCAGTCGCTGAGCAGAATTGCGTCTGGCGTCATGGTGATTATGGGATTCGATTTTGTAATACGAGTTGTTATTGCCGCCAGCATCATCCCTTTCGGCAGGGTTTCCTTCTTTCGAAAGGGTTACTCGTGCTCGCCATCCGATGTTCTCATCACAAGAGAAAGATCGGCATGCACTGGTGACGCATTCATTGCGAATTCCTTTCCGATTCTTCCTCAGCTTACCGCTTGGCAATATAGACCGGCAGCGGAGCTCAAGGATGAGGGGGTGGCCTTTGAGCTCCATGCATGTTGCAGATGCCCACGAGTTGACAGCCACATTGTGCTCGGACGAAAGGATCTTGGCTATTGTGGTCAGCTGTATAATGTGATTCTACCGTGAGATGGAGTTTTAGAGGAAGCTTGAAGGTGATTGTGGAATGGGCGTGCAGCTTAAGCTAAGAATAGCCCTCATCGTCTGTCCTGTTTGGGAACAACCCGTTCTAGTAGATTGATTGGCTATCCACCATCCTGTACTCAGACCTGGGAAGGATAAATACTTTCTTCCCGAGGGAATTTGTATAGTCATCTTTCTCAGTAATTGAAGAATCACTCGTGCCAGACATTTCACAATGGGCTCATCGTTATCCTCGGTTGCCACTTCCTCTACCGAAGACATTGTCATAGTAGGCGCTGGCGCCAGTGGCATAGCAGTCCTTCTTCGGTTGATTGAACATGCTAAGAATGGCAAGAAGATTCCTCCCATCACCGTCGTCGAGAAAGCCTCGCCTCCTGGCCCAGGACTGGCATACTCTGCCGCTTGTACCGGCACCATCTTGAATATGCACACGGACACGATGGGTCTATATTATAACGACCCCAAGCATTTTACCAGATGGAGAAGCGAGCTATCCAGTGGTCCCTTTCCCTCCCGAAGTCAATATGGGGAGTACCTGGAGGCGATGTGGTCTGAGATACTCTCGCAAGCCCAACAGATGGGCTTGGAGATCTCACTCATCCAAGACGATGTATTGGACATTGACCGTCATGATGATGGCACCTTTGCTTTGACACTGGCAGGTGGGAGCCATCTTTCTGCCCATTCTGTTGTATTGGCGCTGGGAAATTTCACCTCTACCCTCAACACGCACCTACTTGATCAACCGGGCTTCTTTCCCAGCCCGTGGCCGACTTCTCAACTACAGTCCATCCCTGCCGATGCCCCTGTCCTCATCATCGGATCAAGGCTCTCCGCTGTTGACGCTGCGCTGTATCTCTCTAAGAACGGCCATACGGGCCCGATGACCTTCATGTCGCGCAGTGGCCGCCTTGCCAAAGTCCAAGGCGAGCCTGAACCTTTCCCGCGCCGTTACACCCTTCATACCTTGGCCCGAGAGCTTGAATCGAACCCAGCGGAAGGTCTTGTCAAACTCACAACCACCCTTATGGATGAGATTGACGGGGTGAACAACGGTGATTGGACCTGGATACAGAAGCATGCCTCACCAAAGGCCGAACTACGGGCAGACCTGTGCGCGGCACAGGAAGGGAATGTCCATTGGCAAACCGTCCTTCGCCACACTGCCCCAGTTATCGAGCGCTACTGGCACTGTTTACCTCTGGAAAGCCAACAACTCTTCATGGCCAAATTTTTCACTCCATGGATGCGATACCGCCACGGGATGCCGGTGCAGAACGCCCGGAAAATCCTCAGGCTGATGGAAAGCTCCCAACTAAGTGTGGTTGCAGGAGAGGCCGTCCACTGGGATGACGATGAAGGCACCTTCATTGCTCAGACGACTGCTGGACCCATAGAAGCAGCATACGTGATCGAAGCGACTGGGCAAGAATGCCATCTTGATCGGATTCCATCGCCGCTTGTCCAGTCCGCTGTCCGAAAGGGATTATTCACGCCTCACCCGATGGGTGGGGTTGACGTCGACTTCGACACCCTCTGTGCATCAACCCCTGGCCTATACACGATGGGCTCGCTGACACGCGGCACGCATTTCTACGTCAGCGCCATCGATCGAACTGCAGCCCACGCGGCTCGCATTGCCGACGCACTGGTTGGGGAGCCCCCTGCCAGACCTTTACACATTGCTATCTTTCTCGGCTTAGACGTGGCCTCGCACCTGATTGCCAGTGACCTGGTTCCCCGGCTTCTAGCCGAGGGCCATATGCCTTTCCTCTTTCTGACATCCAGCACGGAGACACCTCCCATGGAGGCGCCTGGTAGTTGGCCTTTCGATTTGCGTAAGCTAGCATTCTTCGAACGCGAGCTTTTACGCAAGCATCTCAGTCCCAGGCTCAAGGAATACGGTTTGAAGGGCACCCGGCACATGACTCCTGAGCAGATGCAGTCGACATACGGGGTTTTTGTGCAAGAAATACCAGACTCAGAGGGTACCTCTGTTGTCAAAATGTTGCAAAAGCACTTCATCGACGTGGGCATATCGCTTTCATGCGGCGATGTGCTTAACCAGGGTGTCATTGATTACTTTTCCTCCTCGTCGCATCCTCTTTTATCTTTGGATGGCGGTGTCCTTTCGGCACCCTGGGGCAGCAAGAAAGTTGGAGCCCAGTTCGGGTATACCCTCCGATTCTTCCGTGGGGACGGTGAATTGGGTGATATAATTGACAGAAGGACCTTTCCACTCGGGCACTCTGTTGCCATACTGACAGGTGTGAACAAGGAGTATGCGCTTGGAGTGCAGATAACTTTTGATGCGATTCAGTTGGTGAGTCGAGGAAAACCATTGCGCGATGTTGCTTGGGATCGAACTAGTCATACTTCCCGCCACAGCTATCTCACTGCGGAAGAGTTGTTGCAATATTCTCATGGCCGGGGAATTGATCTAGTGGACGGTGATAGTGTTGTAGAAATGCTGGTGGAGTCATTTGCACCCCCGGAGAAGAGAGAGGTGCTGCGAAAAGAATTGGGCGAGGTGGTGCATGAATGGTATGTGAAGGAAGGGTTTAGAGATCCAAAAGCATAGGTATTCGTCGGGGTGATGTAGTGTCGAATCAAGACTCATCGTTTTAAGTAGCCTCAGTGGAATGACATCTGAACTCAACACATTACTATTCACGGTTGTATGTCGGTTAAGCTACCACATGCTACTCTTGTATTATAGTATCCTCCTCACGCATCATCATGGGCTTGCGTGCAGTAATTGTAGTAGTACTGTCAGCTAATACAGCGTACTTTATGTATACAGATATAGTATGTATTAAGGCCGAATAATGCCGCGAAGCTATTTATAAATAAATGCGGACGAGCGTTCTGTAGCTAAGCTTCCAACTATATAATCATTCACAAATGGTTGTAATGAGCACGAATAACAGAGCTAGTGAAATATATGAGAGAGTATTCTTATATATCGTTAATCTTCATGTCATTATTTGAACTGGTTCCTCCCGCATTTGCCGTCGCAGCCGAACTCGCTTCGCTCGGGCGCACCGTTCCATTCGCTGTTCTGGGCATGGCATCCTTGGGACAGCAGATGTGCTAGTACCATCCCTCAGAGCAGTCGCCATGGAGCTCCTTATTGCCCGCCTGCAGGGGATTGTGCGCAGTGCTGACCGACATGTATCCTGATGGGCACACCTGGTCGGGGTTCTTCTCCCCACTTGAGCCGTCAGTGCAGCGCGGTGTGACGAAGCCGTTTTGGCCAGTATAGGCGGCTAAAGCGTCAGCCAGGGCGTTAGCAGCATCCCCGGATAAGCCACCACCCTGCATCTGGATGACTGAGAGGTCCTCGCCGATAACTCCGGCAAGCGCGTCAAAATCGCCATCATCCTGGTCGATTGCCCAGGTCATCCACCCGCTCAGGCATCGGCTGAAGGTGAACTATTTTTTGTCGAAAAAGGATTGCTCATCGTCATAGGAGATTCACTGGGTCCCCTCATAAGCATTATATTTAACCGTTGTCTCCGGATCATAGAACGTATGGACATCGAGTGAATTGTTCTTTGACGCGACTTCCGCGTCTGTCAGCATGCCCGAGGTGTCAGAGCATGATCCGGGTATTCCACCATCCGAGAATTCGCACTTGCCATTAGGCTGATAGCAATTGGGGTGTGCCATGGTAAAGGAGCGACCATAGAATGCGAAGCCGAAGACAACCTTGGATGGATCAATGTCGTTGCGCCAAAGAAGATCAAGACCGAGGTCGATCTCAGTGATGTTTGTGTGGCCTTTGAGGTAAGGACCAGTCCATGTGATGTCTTGGTCCCACATTCCGTGCAGGTCGTAGCTCATGAGGTTGAAGTAGTCGACTTATTTAGCCATCCCGGCAGGGTCAAATCCGCATAAGTACCAGTAGCTCGTTGGGAGTGTCGCCGAGATTTCCCAGCCAGGATTATCGCGATCGAAGGCCTCCCGCAGCTCACCCAAAAGGGTCACAAAATTCGCCGCGTCTTGAGGTTCTCCGCCCTTATCCGATGCTGACGGATACTCCAAGTCAATGTCAATACCGTCAAGGTAGTAATCCTTCAGGTATTTGACCACTGAGTTGATGAAGGTCTGACGATTCTCATATCAGTGTGCCACTGCGTCCAGCGTTAGTGTGCGCATCGAGTGGATTCATATTGCAAATTGAGTCATTTACTCTGAGTCCAAAGGTGCTGCGTCGGAGCGTCATTCAACATCCACCCCCCAACCGCAATGTTTACCCGCAGCCCTGGGTGTGTAAACTTCGAGAACGACACGCGGTCCACAATGTCGCCGTACTCATCTTCCAACTTGGAATCGTCACCAAAATTTACAAAGGCCAGGTTGATATGAGTAAACGGCTCAATGATCAGACTCTCTGGCTCAATCGTGTGGCATCCTTTATGGATTTTGAACAACTCATAATATCCAATACGTCGATCATGGGACATAGCATCAGTATTCTCAGAGCATTTCGGGCGACTGAATGGTTTTAGTACTTGTATTCCATATTGAGCGGCCGAAGCAGGCATACTCTGGTTGGCCGCAACCCCCACCATTGGAGTCTTATTGGCAACCGTTGCCGCAGAATTCAGAAGTGACACCACAGTATCCGAATGAATTGCCAGCCGTTAGTTGTCATAACGAAATCCCCTCTGGGTCAGACTGCTAACTTACCTGCAACAGACATTAATAGGACAGTCAGAATTACCTGGAGCGGCGAACTCTCCGCACTCTATCGTCGCATTACAGTTACTCCTGCAACCAGTCCCGCAATGAGCGTCGGTAAAACCACATGAATAGTCCTTGCTACAGCAGCCTTGGTAACATGGAATTGAATCTGTGCAAGTGCCTCCCGGCTCACCCGATCCCTGGGCAATAGCCGAGGGAAGCTGAAGCAATATCAAACGGGTAAACAGCATTGGCCAGGTAAGAGAATTCATCTTCCAGGGCAGATGGAACCAGGGCAGATGGAAGGGTCTCTCCATGATCCCATTTACGGGCAAAGCGAGTCGGGTATTGGTAGCTCAACACTGTAGAAAATATTCTATAAGTAAAGAATGACAGGACAAAAGAAAGCAAGACAAGGAGTGAACGAAGGAGACGGGTCTCCCCTAGAGTAAATTTGAAATACAAACGACTTGCCCATCCTCCTAGCTCCAAAATAATAGATTACTGCTTTAGGTGAATTCTCTGTTGGTAGCTGAATGAGAAAATTCCAACTTCAGCGCCGTATCATGATATATTATATCATATACAGACTATCCGTGGATAATACTTTATTTGCAGGCAGAGCATAGAATAGCTAGTAATAATATTCAAAAATAATATAACTTTTATTTATGTTTTATAATATAAATATATTCTTTACACTATTGTCAAACCCTAGAATGACTTCTCTGTCCTAGCTAGCTTAGCTCCGTTGATATACATACCGTCGAACTGCATCGAGGAGGTATTGACTGATGACTATCCAAGAGACAACTGGATCATGGACAAGGAAAGAGAAGTACGTATATATACTATATATTTCGAGGCGAGAGAGGGCAATATCGCTGATTTACTGGTATAGTCATCAAGATGACGAACGGTTGTCTTTCGGAGAAATAGTCGTAAATGTTGAAACAAGTCTCCTTTGTTTCATGGGTATCATCTCCCTCCAGCCCAAGAAAGTTGATCCCATGCACATTGCATAAATGCGTCAATTTCCCCAGAATGACACGGAATAGCAATGTTCCGATATGACTGCCACAAACAGCTTAGCGTGTTTCCCTGCTCTTCCGCTGACAGGAAAGATCGAATGGCTAAATGAGATCAACTCGCACGGAAATACTGCGAGCGCCTCCCAGGGAGCGACTCTGAAAATTATGCACAATCGTCGGGCTAAACGCTCATCGCTGGCTTGCTTGCCCTGTCGCGCTCGGCACGCCAAATGTGATGGGAAGCGACCGAGCTGCACCCGCTGTGGTGAGGTTGGCCAACCGTGCAGCTATGCCCCTTCGCGGCGCGGTCTCGTCTCTCGACACCCGCAAAGGACAGATTATCCCATGAGCCATGGCAGCCATCAAACAGGTGCCAGCACATCTACATTGGAGCAGGGTACGATCTCGTCTGTCCCGGTATATCTCTTGCCCATGTCCGCCGTGCCCAGTGCCGATCTGGATGGCTGCAGCACCGAAAAGCACCTTTCCCGGTCGGAGGACATTGCAAATGACCCATTGATCCACTCCTACTACAAGAACTTCCACGTATGCCATCCATTTGTCCCACCACGGTATCATCTTGTGGAACTATGTCAAGAACCTCGCATAAAGCATGCGCTTGCCCCCTTGATTGCCGCTATGCGTTTCATGGGAAATATCTACAGTGCGCGAGAATGGTCGGTCCCGCTCAAAGACACGATCGAAACCGCTCTTGCCCACTTATCGCCGTCTGATCCGATTCAGGTTCAGTGTCGGATCTTGTACTCCGTAGCCTTGTTCTGGTATGACTACAAAGTGGATGCGCTGTCGCAATTGGACCAGGCGGCTCAGATCGCCATTGCTTTGCAAATGTTCAAGGGAGAATTCGCAGCGTCCCAGGAACCGGTCGATCTGGTCTTGAGGGAATCGTGGAGACGAACCTGGTGGACCCTGTACATTGTTGACGCCTACTACGCGGGCACCTTGGGGACGATGAATTTCAGGGTCATGGACCTTGATGCGACCGTTGAACTGCCCTGCGACGAGTCCGATTATGAGTTGGGGGTAAGTGCACATACTCTTTACCCCAATCTCCAGTACCAGGGTTCGCTTATGCTTCAGGTTGAAGATCATTCCCCAACCTAGAACCCTTGAAGAATTCAATCAGCGCGAGTTTATTTCCGATAATGTCCACTTCTCCTCCTTCGCACACCTCATTGGTGCCGTGCAGTGCGCCGCGTCCGCCATATCTGTAACCCCCAAAGTGGCAACCGTGGAAGACTCCATGCATCTGATCCAAGCGGTCGATTGCGGCTTGGATGGATGGCGACTACTATTACCGCCAGAGCAGAAAAACGTCATCAAGGCGAATGGTGACATTGATGAGCTCTTGTTCCAAGCACATCTGCTTATCCATGTGTAAGCTTCACGTTTCTTCCTCGCATATGCTGCCGCTCACCAGCTAGATCCACCGTTGGCCTCCATCGTCCATTGTCGGCCCTCAATTTCAATGCCATCGAGAATGTATCGAGCTGTGCCCGCAAGCCTCCCCGGGACACCCCCACGCCGGATTTAGTAAACGTCCATACCCTCCGGGTCTTGCGGGCGGTCGAGGCACAGGTCCGTCTTCTGGCTTTACCCGCCCCAAGATTCCACCACACCCCTTTTACCACGTGTATGGTCAGCGAGGGGATACTGGCCCTGCTCTCTGCTTGCCGTATTTTCCTCAAGGGGAAAGACCTCGCCATTGCAAGAGATCAGATCCGGATGGCGCTCGGCTCTCTTAAGGTGCTTGGGGAAGTCTGGCCGAGGACAGTGAGAAATGTGGGCGAGATCCAGACAATTGCTCGGTGTGTCCTGGGACTGGGACAAGGTCCCAACGATCAGGCTATGCTAGGACCCAGTGATCCGTCGTCTTTTGGTGCGCACGGGGTGGATCCAAATTTAGCCACTGACAGTTTGTCGGAACGCGACAAAAGCCCGGCTGCTTCCGTCTTCTCTATTGATGTTCTATGCGGCTCGTACAACACTGGAGCTGCAAATGATTTCCCATGGGGGCTAGGTGCAGGCTTATGATCCACTAATTAGTCGTGACGCAGAGAGTCAAGATTAATCGAGCTAAGAAAGGGATACATTCGACATTGAAGAACCGGCAGGATTATCTCAAACGGCAAGGACTATTTTTCCACGCCCGTATGCCCTCCCATTCGCTACATCATACGCTTCAGGTGCTTGGACAAGTGGGTAGATGTCTGCCACGAGAGGCCGGACGACTCCATGACTTGCCACCTCTGCAAGAAAATGCAAAGCATCCGGACTGCCCCGGACAATGAAGAATAGCGCGTGTACACTGGCCTTCCGAAGTCCACGCTTCTCATGCTTCTCTACGAAGTTGAAGCTTGCCGAATCCACTGAGATCAGCACTCCTGTGCCGGCGACATACTCCCAGCATTTTTCCAATACTTCCCCGCCCACGGTATCGACGATGACGTCGAACTTTCCGCGACAATCGTCCAGCATGCTATACTCCACGACTTCGTCGGCCCCGAGGGCTTGGAGAAACTCGCGATTGCGAGCATTGGAGCTGCTAGCGGCGACAACTTTTACCCCTGCGGCTGCGGCTAACTGCACAAGATACACGCCCACTGCACCGGCGGCACCAGTAATCAGCACAGAGTACCCTTTTTTCGTAGCGGTTTGGAACAGTAAATCTTCCATCGTCGGTCGAGGAATCTGCGCGTGGTCAAAGAGGGCCTCGTAGGCAGTTTGTGCGCTGAGGGGGATTGCCGCTGCCTCGGCGAATGTCAACGTAGTGGGCTTCCGGGCTACCTCATCCTCCTTGACGATGGTGTATTCGGCCCAGGTAGCTGCCCGGGTGGCATTGGTCATGCCAAAAACTTCGTCGCCGGGCTTGAACTGGCTTGCGGACGAGAACACCTTCACCACAATGCCGGCCACATCGTTGCCCAAGATGGCATACTCATGTGAGTAGGCTTCCGGCCAAGTGAGCATGTCCCGAATGACGGTTGTTGCTCTGACGCGGATGAGAAGCTCTCCGGGCGCAGAGGGTTCTGGAATGGGGACATCACAGTCCAGCCGAAGGGCGGTGGAAGGAGCCGGGTTAGCTGGTGAATAGGGTGTGGAATTTGGCAAAGCAGGATGAAGACGGATAGCTTCCATGATGCAGGCTAGAAATGAAGAAGATGATGGGATGGAAGCTTTCCCATGATGGCTCGCATCCAGGGTCAACTTAAAGTATCCCTCGGGATAATGGTTGCATCACGTGCCTGTATAGCCTATGAATAGGCTATCGGGTATGACTGTCTAGGGGACCACTGAATCCACGGTGAACGTGAGTTGATGCCCGCCTGCGCTACTTAAAGAATGTATATGGCACTGCTACACATTCGTAGTGCTTATTCAAAGTAATAGCCCACTGCGAATACTTCAACCCCAAGGTGGCGGCTACGCCAAGAAGGGACCATAGGAACAATATCGCATCCTTTCATCACTCAGACCTCATGGTCGCACACTTCACTATATGAATAGACTCCAACAATATACAAACGGTCACAGGATTTTTCTATCGCTGATATAAACGGGCAGAAGTCTTGTTTGGAGATCTGAAGAAGGCTTGGAAGCTCATCAGCCGGGATTCGTTCTATGCCGCACTCAGTGGCAACGCCGAAATTATAAACCATCGACTCGACTGCTTGAATCTTCTCCGTCGAATTTCATCTTCGTCATGCGCATGCACCACCCCCAAATAC